TAGCTGTTCAAGTATTCAACACTTTTTAAAACAATACATGATTTATGAGTAGTTTCAAACATTCATACATTAATAATGATTTATTTCAACTAACCTCAATTAGGTCATCATCTCGACGATTAGTTCAAAATATCTCTTTAGCTGACTCTTTGTAATTTGTTTATCCTTCTCTTCGTGGTTTAGCATAAGAAATATGTTTTCAATGTGAATGGTGTTAAAATATTTTTCGAAGAATTTTTTCATTATGTTGGTATATCTGGTTTTCAGGTTTCTTTTCAACTTGGACAAGTTACAGTGAAATATGTTAATGTTCTGGTACTCTGAAGATATATCTAATTAGATCGAAAGGATTCCTGAAATTCATGACATTAAATTTCGTTTTCGTTTGTTTGAGAGAAAGCGAAGTGCTGGAGGAACAGGAAAACTTGTTGTATGAAATTAAATGTAGCAAATGTGTTTTGTATTTAAGAGCGAAACACCTTGACAGCTATACAAAACCCTATTGGGCAGAGATTCATGTTGATTTAGTTTTGAAATTTTTATGATTTTAGTTACTGGCTTGAATAAATTCGGACCGGTTTCCCAGCTTGATCGTTAGGATTATGATAATTTCAATTCTTCAGATTATTTTAAATAAAATTTATACATCTAAGGTCTTCTTCATACATGGCACTGAATTTCTACCGAACTATTCGATGAAATTTTGACAAATTTTCAAATATCTTTTTGATCATGTGAAAAAATAATCTATATTATACTACTGTATACTTACTTACGCCTGTTACTCCTCGTGGAGGAACATAGGCCTCCCAACATCATTCTACATCCAACCCTGTCCTGGGCAATTATTTCCAGCTCTTTCAAGTTGTTATTCATCCTTTTCATATCTGCTTCTACTTCCCAACGTAATGTGTTCCTTGGTGTATCTCTTTTCCTTTTCTCTTCAGTATTCTAAGTTAGCGAATGCCTTTTGATACAGTCTGATGATTTTCTCAATTTATGTCCTATCCACTTCCAACATCTTTCTCTAATTTCCTCTTCATCAGGAAGCTGGTTTGTCTTCTCCCATAGTAGACTGTTGCTGGTGGTATCCATCCAAAGGACGTTGAGTATCTTGTGTAAAAAATTGTTTATAAATACCTATACTTTTTTATGATGGTTGTGGTAGTTGTCCAAATTTCAGCTGCGTACAATAGAAATGTCTTGAGGTTTGTATCTAGTATTCTGATTTTTATATTGTTTGAGAGACAGTTGTTTTCAGTTCCAGATGTTCTTCAACTATAGTAACATTGTCCTTGATTTGCCAGTCCTGACCTGTAAGTCTGCATCCGATCCGTCTTGTTCGTCGATAATGCTTCCCAGGTACGTGAAGAATTCCACATCTTCCTAACATGTTATCAAATATACGTTTATTAATTTTTCCCAATTACACTCAAATAATAAACATCTACTGAATGAATGTGAATCACAGTCACTTTGTGCACAACCTTAATGTGAACAAATTGCAATATATTACGATTTAAAACATATGTTACTGAGTGGTAGTTTTTGTAACCGTGGTAAAGCTGAAAGCGTTCAAGAATTTATTTGCTGAATAAATGAAATATGATGTAGTCACAAATTTATAATTACTTATCTTCTAATTTAGAGTGATACAAGAAAATTGAGCGAATGGATTATATTTTGATGTACTGTCACAAATACTATTAATCATGGATAAGGACAAGCAAAATTAACTGAAACACTTACTTACATACGCTTGTTACACCTCATGGAAGAGCAAAGGCCGCTAACCACCATTACCCATACAACCCTGTCCTGAAGAGTTCCACTCAGCTGATTGTTCAACTATGTCCTTTGGTTCTTCTCTCAAATGCTTACAATAACTTTAGGATTTATCTTTTCGTAAAGTAAATGATTTTGTAATCATTCCCTGTAGGGAAATCGTTACTCGTAATGTTTAAATTTTTTACATAAACATTGAAACTTTTCTCTTGAGAAAATATTCCCTTAAAAATATGTCTAAAACTTTGACGTCACAATATTTTAATACGAAAAGGGTGTAAGGTATGAATATTGATTGCATCAGTTTTCATTAAATAGCATTCTGGTCTCGTTTGTGGCACGATCAACCGTATTCTAATTTACATTGACTTACATGATTCAGTAACAGGATTAAACATCACTAATGTTAACCATCATTTGGTGTAACAGTAGCAAGTAAAAATACATAAACAAACTCACAATATCATCCAGAAAGACAGTGAAAGGTTCATTAATTGCACTATGAAGCTCAGAAAAAACACAACACATGCAACCTCCTCCTGAGCTACACATTGTCATTTTTTTCGGTGTGCTCAAGAAAAAAACATAGGGATAGTAGAGAAAGACCTTCAATTATACGAATACTTAATGATATTCTGGTTGACGTAATTAAACAAGACCAAAAAAATTCAGTTTTGGCAACTTAAATATTTAAAATGTACCAATTTACTACTCGTTAGTAGTTCGTTTAAAATAGTGGAGGAAGTATGGACTGGAATGAGGTGAAACTTCGTAAACTGTATGATCCATGTTAACTTTCCTGATATACTTTACCATAACTATATTATCTTGAGATGAAATGAATACTTCTTACATCACGACTAAACAATGACATCGTGATGATAAATCAGTAACCGGACGATGTTTGAAAGTAACATAATACATTTAGGATTCCAACCGGAGTATTGAGGTTGATTGATCAACTATGTTCAAGCTCGTAATTTATGAAGAACGGACTCGTAGCTTCCTGCTAGCCAGCGTGCAACTTTGTGATACGGTGAAGTGATCATTGACTAGATAAGTCTAAGAGGGTTGTAACGTTTGTGAACCTTTAGTAAACCATACATATGAGGCAAAAGTGAGCCGCGAGATCTCAGATCGTGCTTACAATAATAACTGGGAGAAAAACTGATGGACGATGAAAAACTTTTAAGAACAGACTGCTACACAGAAATTTACTGACAGATGTAAAAAATCTAAAGAAAACAAGACGGGTAGGACTATAGTCAATAAAAAACCAATCTCTATAAATCTCAACTTCAAAGTTGATGACGTAGCTACCACAATCAGCAAGAAGCTTTACACTGTATTAGCCAAAATTTACCTGGCAGCCGAGCTATGCACTTTGTATAAAACAACAGGCTCAATAATCCAATCAAGGGTCGATAAGCATCCCCTTCATGTTATCGCCAACTGCGTTTATAAATTTAGGTGTACCTGTCAAAGCAGATATGTTGGTAGAACAGGAAGTAGGACATATCTTATATTTTTCGAACATGTTCGAAAAAGCATTAGAACAAGTAAAGAACGATCTTAAACAGTGTAATTAATAAACATGTCTTGGATACAAGACATCAAGTAGTCCTTCAGAGTGATAAATAAACACCCGAGCTCCAGCCCTCTGAAGCCGTTGCTAATAGGCGTCAAAACCCGATGTTCAAAAGATGGTTATTAATCTTTCCTTGCCTTCGTGATAAATATTCCTTCATTGCATCTTAGAAAACTTATTTTCAACTCTTCCATCTAATTACATGATTTTATTTCGACAGTCTTTTAGCTTAATCTTATTTTATTAACTGAATTTAACTAATTGTATTCTTGCTTATTTATCGGCGTTTACTCATTACGTAACCACATGATTCTAGCCCTTTGGACTCTTGTTACAACCAATGTTGTAGAATGTTCTTTTGGATGATATATATATATACAATATCTTATTCAGTCTATTAAGTTTATTTACATCCTTGCTATAATAAACTGATGTCTTCAAAATAACTTACAACTAAAATCTTTCATGTACTTTGAACCCATTTTGTAATTATGACTTTTAAATATCTCAGGTTTCAAGCAGCTGGCGAGAACCAAACAAACTAAGATGAATTCATGTTATTCTGTTAAAATACGTGTTCTTGCTCTCTCCAAGATGATAAATGGAAATATGTGCATAAAATTTCTCGCAAAACGCCTTCCTGCACAATTTTTTAGGTCACTGAATCACTTTGTGACTACGCGGCAGATATTTTTTGACTGATATGCCTAAAGTGATTAAACGGCTTGAATGCACGAACAATTTGAAGTCAGGCACAGAGTGCTAAACAGGTGTTAAGTCACTTGTTAAAATCTTATATATTACTTGGAACTGTTTACCGCCTACTCTTACGTACAATAGAAACTGACACGGAAGTAAACTGGGAAGAAATTATGAGTAGTTAAACAGAGATATAGCACCTATACTCTCTATTCTTCGTTCTCATCTGTCAAAAATATAAAGAAGAATAGTCGATATCCTGGATTATGTATTTTATTTAAGAAACAAAAGATGTAAAACTGAATATTCTTTAAAATGCAAAAATGGGCAGAATTACTTAACTAATCTACAAACTAATGTGATTTTATTGAAATAAGTTTTTGCACACACATACACCAAAACTATGAAATTTAATCTACGTACATTTATATATGTAAATATGCATTAAAACAAAACAGTAATAATACAAGTGTAATGTGTACAAAACTTCTTTTTTCAGTCAACGTATACAAAAGACATTAATATGTAACTAAGAATGTTCATCTAAACTATGATACATAAATTATAAACACAATGTATATGTATATAGGAAAAAAAAGAAAATAGGAAGACTAATAGTTAGTATACAACAAGAGTTTAATTATATTGTAGTAATTTTGTTATTTATTGAACTAAAATTATATATGTATGCAACACGAAAAACAAGCAACATTTTGAATTGAATTTTGTTTATTTGTATTCATTCATCCTAAAACAATTATAGAAATGTAATTGAGATGATTAAAGGGATATTGTATACGGCTAATTTCCATAACAATTGGAGATATTCTGTTCTTAATTTGTTTTTATATTTCATTCTTAAAATAATAATAATTAATTGATAATCATTATTAGTGAGTTAAATCAATTCAAAAACATCAACGCTACTCTACAATACTGGAATTACAGGTTTGTTCACATCACTATTATTTAATGAGGTGGGAAAAGATTTCGACGATTTATTATCATTAGATGATGATGTCAACAGATGGATATCATTTTTGGACTGCCGAATTTTATCACATATAACAACATGGGATTCTGTAAGATCAGATTTATTACTTGACAGATTTTTATCTTCTTTGTGACCATGTTGATTGTCATCTTTTCCTCTGAAGCGTATGGGGAAGAGAAAAACACAGATTTAATATAATGAAATATTAAAAAAAATCGGTTAAAATCAATCACGTCTAAGACAAATATGCATTACTCCTATGAATGCTGAAACTCAATATCTGAAGAGAGAAGAAAAAACAATGCACCTGAGCCACTGCGACAAATTTTGAGCTATATCAGCCCTAAGGTAGTGTTTCAATTTGACTGTCCCTAAATTTCTACAAACTTATTCTTATACCAGCTAATGTCGCTGACCAATGACTAATGAGGTTAGCAGTGGTAAAGCAGACATCACACAAACAGTGAAGTGATTGTGACTGAAATTAAATACAAAGTGGAACAATGAAAAAATTATAGCAGTGAAATATGAACCATAGATCAAATTAATGAGTTGTGAAACTAATTCGAGCTGATAAGAAAAATAATTAAATATAGTTTGAAATAATGAGTACCTGTAAATCTTAACGAGCCATTGGTATCTATTACTTTTGGACTGTAAACCACTACACTTTAGAGTGAAACAATAATCAGAAGTACGTCAAAAGTATTAAACAAAATACAAAAGGATAATATTAAGTATGTTAATGCCGAATAGATGACATGTGGCTAGTAGTGGAAGCCAGGACGCAAATTTCGTCCTATTTGGGACTTGTCAAATGGATGTCCCTGCATCCTTGAGTTGACGTTCACTCCACGACTCAAACACAGTACGCTCCCTTTCAATGACGTCTTAGCCATTCAGCTACTGAGTCTATTTATTCCATATTAACTTGTCATAATAGCTATATGAAGTTAGACTGTACAAGATGCACATATCGAAAAGCAAAACAGATCAAATTTCAGTTGAAATATTAACAATGGGATAATTCAAACAAATTCAAATTGAATTAATATTAACTGCGTGTGATAGTTATTTTCCAAAAGAAACAATCACTCTATTATATGATGATAAAATCAAGGCGTCATGCATATTAACAACTATTAATGCATGAAATAAAATTTATAATACAAATTAATATGAATTCAGCGCATTTTCCGACCAAAAACATATTGTTGGGAATGCTAGATTCGAATTTCTTAATTTCACACCGAAAGAGCCTATTTTTACATTCAATTTTGTTTTTCACCTCGGAGGACTTTAAATGCAATTGGTTCGTTTCCTTTTATAGTACGCTATTTTGTGACGCTTTCTACGGACATTTTTCGTACTGTATATATACACATGAGCTGTGTGCCTGCTGTTCTTTCTTCCGAATTGCTTGTGGAATTACATATTTTCCCGGTTGAATATGGTCTTCCTTTAATTAGCAAGGCTGAGGTGCAGTCGAATAGCTTAGCTTGTCCTGTTGTTATGTTGCTGACCTTCACTCCGTTGGCCAGTTCTAGGTAATATCTTAATCCCTCGAACATAGTACCTTACAAACATACACTAATTCCAATTGTAACGATAACTAAAATAAATTTCGTAGGCTTACCTTATTTGTATAACTAATATTCCATTTACACGATTGAGAGTTTCTAAAATTGAAGAAACAGTTGGCATAGGCAAAGTTAATGAACCACCACTACCCCCAGTAGCGCTGACATTCCCATTAACACCACCACAGAATGCATTTGATAAAACTGCCTTAGCAACAAGTGATTCACTGATAGAAAGATGATTGTTAGTTGAATGTAAATTCAAATGACTAGTGGACGAAGAAGAATCACCACTTCCAATTGACTTTGTTGTGGAGGCAGTTGCTGTGAGTTCAGCTACTTTACGTGCAATTGTCACAGCTTGTTGGGTAAGCTGTCGCAAACATTCATCACTATCTTTAGTATAATCGCTATCTGGACCTAAGCGTTCCTTGTAGATTAGAAAACGACGTTTTTCATAATCAAGAGCAGTACGAAAATCGCCGCGATAGGTATACGTAAGACTGATTAAATGACAAGTGAAAGCTTCTTTCAAATTTCGTTCACCATAAAATCTAAAACATGAAAAATCATACTTAGTGAATGTTATATGCTCATTGAATACTTTAAATTTATTAGATAATAAGAAACTTTCAACAGCAGTGCATTTTTCTTCTATTTAGCTAGAAAACTGACTTTACTCAACGAATCAAATCATATTTGTCTGCAGTATGTGACTTTATTTTTTGTCGAATAATTTCAACAGTTAACAAAATCAATTATTTTGAGAAATTATTTTACTGCAATCAGTAAAGATGTGAGCTACGCAGTCAACAGTTAGGTTTAACTGACTGTTTTCAATTACTTAGTTCGAGGGGAAAATTCCTAGAGTAATGACACCATCAAAGTGAAATTTTGCAATTTTTTTCTTCAAGTAATTAAGATAGCCGTATGATCATGAACCATGAGTTCAAGACAAATGAACCTACAAAGATTGACATACACAAGTGGAACAACTTTACGAATAAGAAAATGATCTGTGTCAGTAAACCTTCATTGATAAGCAGACAAGAAAATTGATCGAAGAGAGAAAATCTTTTTGGTTTATTAAAATCACTAAATGCCAAACAAACTAATTTACTCTTAAGTTATATTTCAAGTTAAGATAATAAATAAGGTTTTAAAGATGTGGACTAAATCAACTTACAATTTAATTAAAGATAATGCATTCTCGAAAAAGATTAAAGCCAAATCTAATTCACCAACCAACTGTAACATTAAACCGATATTAGTCTAAAATAATAAAGAATAACGAACCATAAGAGTTCAATTCAAATCAAATAACAGAAGTTATACTACAAAATAAGTTGATTAAAAAGAAAAACAACCTTTATAACTAACTAGTATTGTAAATAAATAGTAGTTGGAATGTTGTTATGATCTGTCTTATTATGACTCAGCTACTACTTTTATTGTTCGGACAATTTACTTCATTCAACAATTCCTCAAATCAGAAAAGGAACACAATTATATTCTAAATAAAAAAAATGCCGAATGAAAGTAGGAATCACTATAAGAAAAAACTTAGTATGTTTATAATTTTTACACGAAACAATTCTAGAGTATCCGTTAGACCTGATTAGCTAAGTAGTCAATTAACGTGATCCAACTCTATAACAGTCTATAATAAATAAGTGTGAATTTTAATCGCTATTACTAAACCATGATATTATTTTTAAAAAGGGACAGGTAAAAAACAACTGTGAATAACAGTTATGATGAACATTCTGAAACACAAAAAATAAATAAAATAAATAGGGCTTACGTCTATTTGTGTTATTTCAGGATGACATTCACCATGGCATAAGAGTGCTATGTAACGAGCTCGATAAAGTAATTGTAAAGCAGTAGATATATGTCCACAAGCGAATACATAAAGTGAGAAATGTATCTACATGATGGGAAGAAATAAAGTAATTGGAACAAATCAATAAAAATCTATAAATTACAGTATGCAGTATACTTGTTGATTAATCGGTTAATAAGTGGATTACAGAATTAAGTTACAGTTCATTAAGCCAATTAAGTTGATTTGGGAAAATTATTGAGGACGATGAGTTGATTGAACTGATAAAATCCCTGGGTCGAAATACCCAACGGGGCATATACGAAATACGTTTTCATTTACCACACTTTGATCAGATGACATTGGTTATTAAATGTATATTGAAAGTGCTTAAGAGTAAAAATAGAGGAAATGAGTTTTCTAATGGCTGTTAGCATAAAAAGAAATCGGTCAGTAATCTGTGGTAAACGGATATTTAAGAATCATGAATGTGAAGCTAGAGTTTTTATACTATAACAATTAGGTAATTCTCATAATTTTGTAATAACATTTAACATAAATACCATTGCTAGTCTATAGTTAAAACATTTAGAAGTAGTTGATTGAACAACTTACCAATTGATATCTTCAAATTAACTCATCAACAACACGAAACTAAACTAAGCAAGACGTATTCATACAAGCTGGTCCATTAATATTTCAGATAAGAGATTTTAACAATTAACCGTGACCAGTGGAGTCCAGTGTCGGGTATGAAACAGTTATCTATTTCAGATAATGAATGAAGGGTTGCGCAAGATCATGGATCGATTGGAGTTAGACATTAACACTGTTGGATACCTGATCAGTGGTCTACAGGTTAAGCGTCCATGCGTTAGACCTAAGGTCCCGGGTCCGAATCCAATGTGTGTGTGGCCGTGGATGCGCACTGTTGATGAGTCCTATACTAGGACGAAATGGCCGTCCAGTGCTTCCAGGTTTTCAATACTCGTGAATTAAACTGTTAAAATACTAAAACCTCCACAGATCCCCCTTACTGATAGTTGATCATTAGTGCTTTTGTTGTTGTGTTGGGGATGCTAGATTCACAGAACTTACGTCGTAAATGTCATATGTAATTTTATTTTCGGAATTTGAATTTTTTTCTTTCGCGCCAAAAGCGACCGTTTTTACCTCCATATCATATTTGCCACTTGAGAGGACCTTAAATGTCATTGGTTCGTTGTCTCTTTTAATATGCTATTTTGTAAAGTTTCCCAAGGACGTTTTTATGCTATATATTTATATACACTTCAGTTGTGTTTATTGTTGTTCGTGCTTCTAGCTGCTTGTGGAATACATTTCCCTCTTCTGAACGTGAACTCCTCGCCCTAGTTAGCGGGCTGGGACGCGAGGCATCAGAACAGTCAACTTATCTGGTCATTATGTCGCTAAGTCTTCGTTCCGTCCGCAGATTTAGGCGAACTCGTAACCTCTTCAAACATAGTATGTTGTACATTTATTATACTTATCATTAGGTTTTACATATTAAATTTTTCGGAAAAGAAGTCGATTCGCAACAATATAAAGAACCTACATATTCAGTAGCTGTATTCGGATTATCAATTCCGTGTACACGTTCACTAATCATTGTAGCACGATGCTGAAATAATAATGCAGCTTCATGTTCACCCATGACATAAGATAAACGAGCTAAAAGACGATTACAAGCACCAATATCAGGATGAAGAGGACCATATACACCATTCAGAAGACTTAAAGCTTCATTAATCAACTCGAATCCTTCTTGAAGATGACCAGCAGAAATTCGAGCTTGACCAGTTGTAAAATAATGATAAGCATCAGTTGCATGAGGATGTAAATGTTTCACTATTGGATAAAGAGATATTATATCTTCAGTATTAAATACCGGTTTTTGATGATGTTTAGCACCATTCGGTAGATTGAGATTATATTCGCGTAAAAGTAGCTGAATACCAACAGATGTACAAAATGTTCTAAGAAGCTGAATACGTTGAACTTCATAAATTTTACAGAATTCATCAATGTCTGACCTAAAAATGGATAGATTGGAAGAAAAAAATCGATCATTAGAAACGATAATAATTATAAAATATGTACTATATATATATATATGCGAAAAATGTAAACATATACAACGGTTAATTGAATTACAACTTTAATGAAAGGATTGATGGTCAAAAATGTTAAAAATGACTGCTGTTTTTTTTAAAAAAAACTGAATGCATTATCTGGCCTAATTCGATTGTGAAGAACAAGCAATGAGGGATTAACAGAAATCGGAGAAAAATTTTAAACTGTACAAAACTGATGCATAATGTGAAAGATTTCATTAGATAAATTAATTAACGTGATAGATTTAATTTGCTTCGACAACAACTGTTGCTTGTTTTTAATTTCCATTGTTAAATTTTCATAATAAGTGCCCAGACTAAGGAGTATTTGTTACTTAATTATTAAGTAATGGTAGATAGTATCTTTTGAAGTTTTGAAATCAGTGTTCGTAAAATGTATTTGAAACTAAATGAAAATTTATAGTTGTGTAGCTGTAAACATGATTAAAATTACTACTTAGTGCCATAAGATTTTACACAACCTTTCATTACAGAATTATTTAAGGCGATAAACAATCTTTTATATTAAAATCATGAATCGATAAATGATAGACCACTATTGAAAACTTGGAAGCACTGGATGGTCGTCTTGTTGTAGTATGAGAAATCGATCCCACACGCGGGATTCGAATTCAACATCTTAGGTCTTACGCATAAACACGACCTCTGGACCACTGAGCTGGCAAACTAAGGTGTTAGTGTCCAATCTACGATGGTGATCTGACATTCATCGGTCATGATAAAAACAAAATTCAATGATTCACACAACACCAAACTGAAAATCTTTTACATGAAAAATTACACATAAAAATTGTAGCGTGACCATGAGGAAGAAAACTATTTAACAAGTACCGAAATCACTATGAAACTTTAAACAGTTCATAGTCGTAATTAATTATATAGTTCGAATTTTCGGTATTTATGCTTGCATTCAAGGACAATAAGATGATAATGATAATAAATAATAATAGTAATAATAAACTAAATTACAAAGGCCTATTCAAGGTATTATACAATGTTGACGTTCATTGAGAGACTAGCTGTTATCAGTTTAAAAACATGAAAAACAACAATCGATATGGGTATTCAGAACAGTTAATATTCGTAAATTACCAGTATTTGGTCAAAAATGTCTTAGAAGCATCTCCCGCGTATTATCGGACCACCGAGTGAGCAGTGCTGAGGTTATATATAGGAGTATTCGGTAAAGATGCCAAATTAGTTGATGTGTTGACTCTTTATCAACTCACGTGGATGAGATACGGTGCAACGTAAACCCAATCACCGCCTACTTCGATGTGTGATGTCATCTGGTGTACTAGATTGGAAGAACGTTAGGGGAAAAGAAACGAGACGCAGCAACAGCTCAAAGTAAACAGTGACTACTGGACAGTCATGTAGGTAGGTGCAGACAACCTAGTAGGAAGTTCATTGTAATCAGTGGTCGGAGACCACAGGTGAAATAGTTTGCAACGAAAAAGATGAATTTACTTTTCTCTTTCCTTAGATTGTACGTCGCCTTAAGAAATTTTACTTCAAGAATCCATGGCTGGCTAACTGACTAACTCGAAATTGTAGTCGTTTCTGACTAGAACGATTAACTTACGCAGTTATTTGATAATGATAATATTCCTTAGCTTCTTTAATTATTTCAGACCATAAACTGGAATGTGTTTCATTAAGCCATGCCATTTCTTCTGTTAAGTGAAAGGAATAAAACAATAAAAAATTGTTAGGAACACCATGTTAAACAAATTCAATTATTTATTTTCTGTATAAAGTATACATAGAATAATTTTCTATTGAATCACAGATTAAATATAAGTACAGTGTTAAATATACATTCCAACAATTTAAACGTATAGAAGTTGGATATACTCAAACTGAAAAATAATTTATGGATTTTAGTAAGCTAGCTCACATTTAAATGCAGAACTACAAAGTTAAGGAGAGCATTAATTGTCAAAATTCCAGCAACACAATACATTATGATGTAACACAACTGCTTTAGGGTATTTATACACAAATCCATCGATTAGACTGTGGAGACACAAATAACCATACAGTTTATAATGTTACTGATAACACGTAAAGGTGGCAGTATAGAAGTATATGTATACGTAATGAAAAGTCTCTGTTCACTAATACTGAATTTTGTTACGTGATAATTGTAATACCAATTGTCTATAATCTGAGATTACCGTATAGCGTATATGAAATACAACTTTATGAAACTCAATACAAACAAACCTGGTGATTCACGAAGATTTTTCAATTTCTTCTTATTCTTTTTATTACGATTCAGTTTGAGGACTTGCTACCATTGAAGTAAAAAACGAACGAAATAAAATCATTTGTGTTAAATTACCGATTTAGAAGATACAATATGATAGAGTATAGCATAGCATTAGATTAACGAAAATAATTGAGCGTTGAACGCATATATTCGAAAATAATATTAAAATAGTAATGACAATTCAAAATTGCTTATTAAGATACAGAATTTTTTATAGAAAATAGATTGGATGTGGCGAAAAGTGGAATCCAAGACGCACGTTTCGTCCGATTTGGAACTCGTTAGCTGTATGAAACGCGCGCGCTGGATTACACTGCTAACTACATACAACCTATTTCACATAAACTTGTGCCATAATGGCTATATTGAGGCGATCCGCACAGGATGTAGATACTCCAACTAAGAGGGATCAAATTTCAGTCAAACTATTAACAATTAGATAATCAAAACGATTACAAATTAATTATGAAACTATTAAATCTCATCATATTAACAAGTAATTAATAAAGCACTATTTAATACATTTGCTAAGCAGAACAGGATTACATGTACTAGCACACACACACACACACACACAGTTAACTGAATGCAAGTACGCGCACAATTATCTTAATTCAATCAAATAAATATACTCACCTCATCAATCCCAAGTAATGGTGTAAGATTAGGACATGCTGTAAGAAAACAGTTGAGAAAATGAGCAATCCCAACAGAAAGAAGCATAGGATCAACATCTTGAAGATATGTTTTAAATAAATGTTTTGCAGACCGTAACAAAACTTCGCAAATAGCCATTTTCTAGATAAAACAAGGGAACATAAAAATACAATAAAACGGTTAATGTAACATGTTGCACAACATTAAGTTAAGAAAAATGAGAATTAACAACAGTGACATAACAAGTGAACAATACTGAACATCTTGACAATAAACATAAAACAGCAACTACCCTAGGAAATTGTGATGCCAACCCCCTCCCATTGAAATCTAATCTGGTTAGTAAAAGTACGTCTGGATCATAAGTTCATGAACTTATTTATTGTAGTGAATTTACAAGCAAACTTATCTTCACTACAACAAAAACTACTGAAGATTTTACATTTTTCGATAACACTTCAAATAAACACATTTATGACAAGTAAAATCATAATTAATTATATGTTAGTCTAGTGAAGTATTTTGTAAATTCCCAAAACTCGATCTACATAAAAATTATAGTTTGTCAGAGCACTATGATGTACAGACTCGTCCGTATAAATATCATTGACAGTCAAAGAACAAGTATGAAATTTAATTACTAATCGGTAACTTAGCCAACTCAGTTTTTTCACCTGAACAAAGAATTCCAGTTTGCAAGGGAACAATTAACATCTAACAAACGAACATGGATGATTGTAAGCACAAAAAAGCATAGCAAAAGAGATGAGTATCAAAATTCGCAATACGCAACTACGTGGATAATAATAAGAAAGGACCGAATTAAAAACATGATAATATGATATTCTTATTCTGTAAACTAATATTTAAGATATGGACGGGTGTATATACTCACTTTGAGATAACCTAACGACTGGTGAATACTGACTGATTCGATTACACGATTCAAATAACGTACATTAATGCCACTGCGAAAGAAAAAGAAACAAGGAGAATTATTCTAGAATAGAACAGCTGGTTCAAGCATTTTGGAAATTTATTTCAGTCAATATAATGCAATCTGTAATGTAATTTAAACGGTTTCTGGGTAGAACAACATAAAAGTAAAAATCATATGGGCTGCAGTCAACATCAATCATCTGAATAGCTTGTTAATCGTATTGCATTGTTATCAAAAATAATGATGTCATATACCGCAACGTTTGTTAAACCTAAAGATTCACTGCACATGCATTAAATAAGTTAATTATATTGTAAAATTAAGTAGTCATTAAAATGTTCTTTAATTGATTACAATAAATGCTGTACAAGACCTTTTAAAGCATGTTCTGTTATGAAAATAAAATAAGGCTATCAAAGTCTACAGCAAAATAGTCATGTCATTTTTCAACAAAACTCTAATAATGAGACTAGTAACTTATCATAAACGAGACTATTTCTTTACTCTGACGGCAAATCTACCAATATCCTTTTTTTCAATTTAAGACGACCATTAGAACATAGAATATTTTATGCAAACAAACTAGAATTCCTAATCATAATCCAAAACTCTCATATAGTAATAAAAACTAGGTGGTCAAATATTAACACCACTTAACTTACCGCTGATGCATTAACTCTATCAGAGCTCTACCATCTTGAGGAGTGATGCACAAACTTAACGCATCTCTAACAAATGCTGGAATTTGTTTTAAAACCAGAAATTCGCAAGCACTGCATACTAGTTCTTGATCAACTGTTAATGATTGTTCCTAAAATGCAGAAGAGTAAATTTCCGTCTGACACATGTATAGAAATTTTATCAAAAAAAGTGAATTCCGAAAAAACAAACACTGTCCAACTGGCGGCTGATGTGAATACACGAAGGATTAAAGGCCATTCAGTGAAGTCAGTGACATGAATAAGTTAATTATTACATGATATATTAACAGCTGGGAATATAAATGAAAACTCCGCCTGTAGCTCTTCTAGAGTTACTGTAGGTCCCGAACCCGGGTAAAGGAGGAGGGTTGAGTATGGGGTTAGCGACCCCATGCCGTAGAAAACTAACTCGCTAAAACAAAGCTAACCAGAAAAAATAATTCAAACCATTTAAACTCTTCTCTAGGAGTTAGGTCTTCATTTACAAGAACTATGAAGCCTCATGGTGAAAGTCGAGTTCCTTCGGAAGCCACTAGGCCGACGCCCCATCTAACAACCAGACCAACAATATTTATAGATACATGGAACGTCCGAACAATGTGGGAGACCGCGAAGACCAATCAAATAGCAACGGAAATGGGGAGATACAACTTGACAGTACTGGGAATCAGCGAAACCTATTCGACCCCAGCTGAACAACAAAGGCTAAATAAGGGAGAGATGCTGCTATACTCCGGTCACGAAGAGGAAATGCTCTACACACTCAGAGAGTTGCTCTAATGTTGTCCAAAGTAGCACGAAATGCACTTGTAGGATGGGAATCTCACCGATCCACAATCATCGAATCATCCTTCAAAACCAAGAGGGAGGGAATGAAAATGATTGTTATCCGGCGTTATGCACCCACCAATGATAGCAACGACAACAATAATGGTCAGTCTTATGAGAGGCTGCAATTACTCAAATAAAATTGCCAAGGAAAAGACCTGGTCATCTTGATAGGAGATCTAAACGGCAAAGTAGGAATAGATAACACTGGATATGAAGATATCATGGGACGACATGGACTGGGAGAGAGAAACGAAAATGGGGAAGGACTTGTAAATCTGTGTGCATTCAACAAATCGGTCATAGGCGGCACAATTTTCCACACAAACGTATACACAAAGCTACATAGATCTCACCGGACCACACCACAGAGAACCAGATAGATCATATTTGCATCAATAAAAAATTCCGAAGGACAATGGAAGATGTGAGAACCAGGAGAGGAGCTGACATAGCTTCAGATCACCAACTAGTTGTGGCCAACTTAAAACTGAAGCTAAAGAAGAACTGGAAAACTGGACAAACAGTACTACAAAGGTTCAATGCTGCCTTCCTTCGAGATACTGACAAACTCAATGAATTCAAGATAGCTCTCAACAACAGGGTCCAAGCCTTACAGGATCTACTGAAGGAAGAAGAAACTACTATGGAGAACAACTGGAAAGGTATCAAAGAAGCATTAATTTCAACGTGTCAGGAGATTCTGGGCCTCAAGAAGCATCATCATAAGGAATGAACCTCCATAGAAACACTGGACAGGACCGAAGAAAGGAAGAACAAGAAGACAGCAATTAACAACAGCCGAACACGAGCAGAGAAAGTCTAAGCACTAGCTGAGTACATAGAAGCAAACAACCAAGTGAAGGGGAACATTAGTGCCAACAAGCAGAAATACATGGAAGAACTAGGAACGACGGCGGAAAAAGCTGCGACAGAAGGAAATATGAAACAGCGTTGCGATACAACGAAGAAACTAACAGGGAAATATAGTAAACCAGGGAGATCGGTCAAGGACAAGGAAGACAGGCCAATCAATGAAACTCAACAACAGCGGAACACCGGACATCGAAGCAGCACACACAGATCTTCTTATAGATGTCAATCCACCAACGACGGAAGTCAGAATGGCCATCAGACAAATCAAGAGGGGGGAAAGCAGCAGGACCCGACAACATACCAGCTGAAGCACTGAAGTCAGACATCGAAGTAACTACAAACATGCTTTACTCTCCATTCAAAATAATTTGGGAGGAGGAACAAGTGCCGATGGACTGGAAAGAAGGACACCTCGTCAAGATTCCAAAGAAAGGAGATCTGAGCAAATGTGAAAACTACAGAAGCAATACACTGGTGTCAGTACCAGGGAAAGTCTTCAACAGAGTGTTGCTGAACCGGATGAAAGACGTGGTAGGCGCCTAACTTCGGGATCAACAGGCTGGATTCCGTGAGGATCGGTCGTGCACAGACCAAATTGCAACACCACGGATCATCGTTGAACAACCAGTTGAGTGGAACTCGTCACTATACATCAACTTCATTGACTATGAAAAGGCATTTGACAATGTAGATAGGAGAACGTTATGGAAACTTCTTCGACATTATGGAGTTCTTGAGAAGATTGTCAACATTATCCGAAGCTCATACGACGGACTACAGTGCAAGGTAGTGCATGGAGGACAGCTGACAGATGCATCCCAAGTAAGGACCGGAGTCAGACAAGGTTGTCTACTCTCTCCCTTCCTCTTTCTTCTGGTGGTCGACTGGATTATGAAGACCTCGACATCTGAGGGAAAACACAGCATACAATGGACAGCTCGGAACCAGTTAGACGATTTGGACTTCGCAGATGACTAAGCCCTCCTGTCGCATACACACGAACAAATGCAGATAAAGACAGCCAGTGTAGCAGCAGTCTGCATCAGTAGGCCTCAACATACACGAGGGGAAAACCAAGGTCCTCAAATTCAAAACAGAGAACAGCAGTCCAATCACTCTTGACGGCGAAACTTTGGAAGATGTAGAATCCTTCACATACCTGAGAAGCACCATCGATGAACAAGGAGGTTCAGGTGCAGACGTAAAGGTGAGGATTTGCACAGCAATGGCCGCATTCCCACAATTGAAGAACATATGGAACTCAAAACAACTTTCAACCAATATCAAAGTCACAATCTTCAATACCAACACCAAGGCAGTTCTACTGTACGGAGCTGGAACTTGGAGAACTACAACAACCACAATCAAGAAGGTACAAGTATTTATAAATGGTTGTCTATACAAGATACTCAACATCCACTGGACGGATACCATCAGCAATAGCCTTCTGTAGGAGAGAACAAAGCAACTTCCAGCTGAAGAGGAAATTAGGAAAAGACGATGGGAATGGATAGGACATACATTGAGAAAATCACCAAACTGCATCACGAGGCAAGTCTGAAGGGAAACGTTAAAGTGGAAGGCTAAATAGCACATTACGTCGAGAAATAGAAGCAGATATGGAAAGGATGAAGAACAACTGGAAAGAGCTGGAAAGGATTGACCAGGACAGGGTTGGATGGAGAATGCTGGTGAGCGGCCTATGCTCCTTCACGAGGAGTAACAGGCGAAAGTAAGTAATATAAATGAAGGCAATGCAATAACCAACGAGAATTCTCTTTCAGCAATCATCCATGGCTAACAATCAAAAATGGCAAACAAAGGAAACTTTCATTAGGCACATGGTTCATTCGGAACATTTTACAAGATTAGTAGTAAAAAAAATTGTACAAGTGAGAAATATTGTACAAATTACTATGCAAATTTATAAATTTCAAATAATTAGTTACACAAATATTAGTTGAAATTTAGTTGTTTAAATCCCCGATAGCACCACCCATTTATTGATGACGAATAAACAACATATTTCCATTTAAAACTAACGTAAAGGTCAACAAATTGAATTATTAATACATGCTTCAACATAATCTACACACAGGAAATGTAACTTGAGTGTCACAAAAATGCTTACTTCTGAATCACAAAATTTGACAAATTTCTGATAAATATCAGGATTGAATGTAAGCTCAAAACGATCTGTACTCAGAGAACCGACAGTTGCTGCTGCTTTGCGGATAGCTTCTCGAATTACGTCATCTGAACAAAAATAAGAGTTAAAGTATCAAAGAAAAATTACAGGCGTTTAAATAACAAGTTAAAATGAAGAAACAATACTGAAAACCGGTGAATAACAACTGCAATGCTTTATTTAGACAGAACTGATAGAAAAGCTTAACGTTAAGATAAAAAATGTTACTGTCAATGCATTTTTTTGTCCTTGAACCTTAATCTAGCTGGCTGTTCTGAACATGTGAAAATTTGAAAAACAAGTTCCAGATTATATGGATGAACTTATTAGACACGATAGGCTAAACCGATTACCAGTTCATCAAAGTAGCGGTTATGGATAGTTTCAGTACATTTTCATATCCTTGTAATGGGAAGCATTTTCTAGTTAGAAATAAGAAAATCTCCACTGAACTATTGAGAATAATTTATTAGCAATAATGTTATTATCCGGCTGCTCAAACCGATTTAGATGTGTCATAATTCATACTTGAAACCTAATGACTGAAAGCCGCTTGTTTTATTTACTACATACTACTGAAATTGAACTTAATTTTGTTCAGAGACTAAGACCCATTGAAGTTGGGAGTATACTGATAGGTTATTAAATCCTAGGTTAGGCTTCGTGTCGAGGGTTTTGAATGAGGGCTGTTGAAGCGTTAGTCTCAAATACAAAAAACACGCACCCAGTCCTCCGTGATGACTAGTGAACTTTGGATATAATAAACCCCGTAAGTTCTCCCCCTCCCTCCACTGTTTCAAACGTAGTTACACAATTTCATCAAAACAAAAAAGTATACCTAAGCTTAAGAAATATACACCGTTTCACCTGCGAAAATTTGTGTTCAAGATAAAAGAGTTAAAACAGAGATAATAAAAATCAATGAAAGTCAAATCACTTTTTTGTGTGTCTTGATCATCTTCTAGTAATCTTTTCATCAGGCTTAAATCATCTGATTGATTCTTGCTTGGAGACTTTATTGTCCCAATCCCTGAGTTCAAAGCATTACTGGAGTGTCCAGTAACATCATGGTGGTCTATTTGGTGTTTGGTTGTAATTAGACTATCTTTGGGAGATAAGGGATCATCATTAGTGTTTGAACAGTTAGCTTGTCCATTTTGCACACCAGCAGCATCCTATAATACATACAAAAAAATATAATTCATGTAAACATGAGTAATATGAATTGCATTTAAAAGCAAATCATAAATGAGACAACAAAACTGATCTGACTAAACAAAATAACAAGATGCATCTAATCTAATTGTTTCAAAATTTCCTGTCAGCTGCAAGAAGTTTAAAGTGATATACAGAGTAAAGAGATCAGAAAAGAAGAGTTTGAAATAGCTTAGTTCATTAAAAACTTAGATGGATATTCGGAGCAAAACAAGAAATCATACGAGGAGAAAAATGACCAAACATTGTTGTTAGGATAGTTAGATACGACGGAGAAGCTCGATAGAAGACTGCCGATTGTTCTGGAGCACATGTTTAGATTCTGATCATGCTCTAATACGAGCACATATTTGCTTGTGCCTCACTGGACGCAGAAAAACTACATTAAGACCCATTAGAGTTGAACTCAGTGACAAGAAGGTCAAAAGTAGATTAGATTACAGGAACAACCGAGATCACACTTGAGCAGTTCTCAAAACGAGGTTGACACAGATGCTGCTTGGAAAGATTTAGAAACAGCAGCGATATCTATTGGTGATTTGAACCAAAGGGCCACGATAGATTGTCGTAAACTCATCACATCAGGCTCTGAACACGATGAGAAGCGTAAACAAATCAGATCTACGTTAACCAAAAGTCTAAGGGACGATTGTAAGTAGTGGTAGGCAACGAAAGCAAAAAAAGATGGAAAAAATGGCGACTGTAGGTAACACCAGACAGCTTTTCAGACTAATAAAAGAAACTGGAATTAATAAGTCAAGTGTGAGATGATTTCGGAAAAAGACGACACTTATTTACCCTCAGACCAGACGTTTAGAACAATAGGCGGAACACTTTAAGAAGTACAGCTGGCCTTCTGCTAATCTACAACTACCCGCCATCCATAAACAGCCTGAAAGGAACAATGAAGTAAACCCCTCGACTCTAATTGAACTTCAAAAAGCTATAGCTAATCTGAAACGAAGAAGAGTAGCTGGTCCAGATGGATTGGCTCCAGAGATCATTAAGTATGGTGATCCAGTTTTAGCGATTAGGTTGACTAATATTTTAGCTAAACTCTGGGAGTTGGACGTAATTCCATCTAACTGGTCATAATCACTGATTGTCCCAATATATAATAAAGGGTCAAAATCATCCTGTGATAACCATACAGGGACTAGTTTAACATAGCATCTAAAATAATAGCCTCAATGACTATCGGATGCCTAACAAAGATTCGTGAAATGCAAACACAGTAAATCAGGCTAGCTTCAGACTCGATTGTCACCGCATCAACCAAGTATTCACCATTCGTTAGGTTCTAGAACATAGGCATGCTGATCGGCGTCTGAGAACGGTGCTCTTTCTTGACTCTGCAGACCAGGAGGTTATCTGGCAGTGTCTGTCATTGGAAGGCGCACCTCGGAAGTACATAAACCTTGTGAAGGCTTTTTACTTCGACACCACCAGTCGAGTCAGAGCTTATAGCGAGCTGTCATCTGATTCCGCAAACTCAAGTAGTGACCTGCAAGACTGTCCACTATCTCTATTTTTTGTTCAACTTCATCATAGATCGACTGCTGGAAAAAACGTTCTCGTCCACTGAATTTCTGGGCATTGATTTCCTACCAGGAAGTCCACTTATCGACTTAGAATACGCAGATGACATTGTCCTGTTTGGTGAAGACGCAGATAAAATACAGAGCTTCTGGTATCACTGAGCAACAATACCAGGATGTTTGGGATGCTCTTCTCCCTCTCTAAATGCAAGTTGTTGCTTCAGGACTGGTCTGCGTCAACACATGAACTAAGGATAGGGAGTGAAGTAGTCGAACGCGTTGACAACTTCACTTATCTTGGAAATCTGATTAGCCCAAATGCATTGGTGTCTGACGAAATCTCAACACGGATTCAAAAAGCTCATTTGGCTTTTGCCAACTTACGTGACCTATGGCGAAGGCGAGATGTGAGTCTACCAATTAAGGGATGAGTATACTACGCGACAGTTCGTTCTGTTTTACTTTATGGCTGCGAAACGTAGCTCTTAAGTGTAGAAGATACTCGTAAGCTACCAGTATTTGGCCACAGACGCCTTAGAAATATTGCTCGCATCTGACAGGAAGTGAGGTTTGACACGAAGTATTAGGGAATGATGGTAAATCAGTCGATGAGGCTGTAAATTTTCATCGATTAAGATGGTTGGACCACGTGTCACGACATATGCCTGAACACAGATTACCACGACGCGCAATGCTAACTAGTGTTGGAAACGGATGGAAGAAATTTAGGGGCGGCCAAACCAAGACGTGGCATCAATTCTTGAAGTCACTAACTTGTAGTCTGAGCCATGTTGGTAGATGAAGACTACTTAGTCGGGTCCGTGCGACTATTACAACCAATGGTTGGAGACTCTGATTGACATGGCTCAGAACCGGTCACAGTGGCATTGGTGTATACACTCTTCGTCTTTCCTTAAACTAGGAGATTAAAATCGTTTTATACCTTTTTTTCTACGAACTAATTCTTTCTCCCTGTATTATATCCTCATACATAATCTTTTATATATTACTGTCATTGAAGTAACTAGTTATGTGAATTTGGTAACCATCTTGCTGTGCTGATGAGGTGTAGCAGCTTGGATCGACGCATATATCCCCGGTCCTACGTTGCAAATGACTAACTATTTTCCTTGCCTTATAAAAGAATGCAACAACGTAATCTTGTACAAACTAATACTAAACTCTAATAACAAACTGGTGATTTGATTCCATTGCGTATGGTTGATAAATTCAGTGACGAATGAGCACTTTGTGGTTGATTTAATTCGGTACAAATTAAATATTGGTACAAAGGGGCACCGAATAAATATGCGCCACACAAGTCACTTGATTTGTGTATGGGCTGTGATACTGCCCGGGTGCCCAGACCGAAGCGGGTGGTTTACTTAGGGGGCCACTTCCGGAACCTTCGGCATGAAGGTCTGATCCACAGGGCAGTGGAGCGACGTGAAGAGATGCAGTTCCATGGTGAATGCTCCGTATCCGCCAACCCAGTTAAGACGCGGACATTCGCTTTTTTTCGTAAACACCCCTGCCGCGAGAAGGCATTGAGTATGACTTCCCTGGCGGTGGCTGTATACTCGTGGTCATGTGAGAGCATTTCAAGAGGGTGAGCGGACTCTCCCCATCCTCGGTCGTACAAGGGCATTAGGGGTGGTCATTAAAACGACCGATTAATGAATGATAAATAATGTAGAACTTGAAATAAATGTCAATCAACGTAAAGTAGCAAAAGGAAAAAAACATGTAGAACTGAAAAAATGGGAAAATGTAGACGCTTCTTACCTGATCATCACATTCACCTTTTAAGGAAGATTTACCTTTCTGAATCTCTAGAGCAGCCAGACGTAGAAACTTTTCATAACGATGGCTATGTACAGCGAGAAATTGAAAAAAATAGCAGTTAAAACCTGATGAAAGGAATATGGTAGTCAATGTACTTTTCACGGGAATACCACTAAGTTACATTCAGCTAACGATTCCGTAATAGGACGAAACGCGTTCTGCATTCCACTGCTAGGCACCATCTATATTTGCTTACAATACTTGTGTGTTAAGGGAATATCGAGGCGATCCGCATAAGATGCACATATGCCAATAAGAGATAGATGAATTGCAATCCTAAACATCAATGAGAGGACTCAAATAACCAATACAAAAGTAGATTTACCAATAAGGTATGGTTAGTTCGTTAGCAAGATACTAACTAATCTGTAGTCACTTCATGTCTGAGTTTTACGAGATGCAAAAATCTACAAGTTGGAAACCTAACCCTATTTATTTATTACTTAAACACATAAACATTGGTACAAGGAGGCACCAAATATATATACGCCCAACAAATCATTTGACTTGTGTGAGGACTTAGGTACTGCTCGACTGCCCAAACGGAAGCAAGTGGTCTCATTAGGGGACCACACTCCAGTGATCTAGTTAATAGAGCATCAAGGATAGAAACTACATTGCAAGTATCTTGGTCCAACCACCTAGCTGTTACAAAGCAATAAATTCCTGTATTAATTATCTTCAATAGCAGGTCAAGACAAGAAAGGAAAACCAGTATTCTACTCTTAACAAACAGATGTTAAGAAACATCAGGAAGAGTACTTACTACACGACGGCAACACGATATTTACGCGTCAATCAGCTTAGTACCAAAATTCATAATAAATAATGATTTTTAAAGGAGTATTATGTGTGTAGTTACCGGACATAAATAGATAAATATAGTCTTACTCAAAAAATGCCTCGATCAACTCTTGTCTTAAAGTCGCCAACATATGTCGGTGTTGATAAGGATAACCTAATTTCACCAATTCAGGAGACAACTGAGGTCGTATATCACTACCATTATCTAAATAGTTTAGATCTGGTGGGAAAGTACGTAGTAAATCCAGAATATAAGTTCGATTATCATTTCCAACAATTCCTTTACAATCCACAGATGAATATAACTGTATTGCATCACCTGACTGATTGACAACCCTGTAAATTTAATTAATGAATTTTAAAAAGCACTTAAACTAAACAAAACAAAGAACATAATTATGCCAGTATTATTGTTATTATCCGTTATTAACACTACTTTAAACAGACCAAACTAAAGACTACAGAGGAGGACTAAAAGTAATCGAATTTATCTGTAAGATTGACTAAGTGGGATTATCTAAACTAGACATAAAATAAAGTTTGAGAAAGATTTTTTTTATCGAAAAATAAATGCTGAAATGTGTATTGCATAGCTCCAAAACCAATAAAATAAGAACCCTTCACGCTCCAACTATGATTTTAAGTAATATATTGGTTTTAGGTTTTTGTAAATAGGTGGTTAGTGAAGATCCCTTTGAAACTGGAATTAGTTTCAACATGAAATGATATCAGAAACCTTAACGTTTAGTGATTAAAGTAATACGACGTTGTGGATGTATAACATGAGGCCATCTATATTTCATTTTCATTTACAACGGTTCATTAGTTATTATTTATATGCAATGTAAACTATCTGATTACAGAGTTCGGCCGTAGTTTAGATGTATTTTTTCTAAAACACCTGTCGAAACGCTAGAAATTGAAACAATAAACGAAGCAATAAGACACGTTTGTAGACTTCATGCTAGTTCCTATCCCAAATATATATTGGTAGAACATAAATCTGTATACCAAGGTAGATCACATGAGTAGCTGTTCTGGATCTTGAAATTTGGGTCGGTCGAGTCTACGCTAATATGCCAACTAAGAGCGACCGAGATTACTCTAGTGCGAATGGAATTTACCATGCACTCAATTTTAAGGCAACTGCCACACACAACGCTTCGACGATAATCGTTGAATGATAAAATCTAAGACTAAGGGGAGTACAAAAAAGGCTTGCTTTTCTATGAAAAATGACTGGAATGGGGGATCTCCGTAGACACAGTAAAACATAACCTTGAAACAGAAAATTTGCAAATTAGAAGTGGTGACAGTCAACCAGAATACGAATTAGAAAAAAAGTTCACTCGTTGTTATCAATAAAGGACAGGAAATTAGCATTTATTAATAAAAACTGAGTAATCTGTGGTCACCTCAGCGGGCTGTTGTCAAGGTTCATAGGAATGCATGTCTTGAGTCAATTGATATACACATTCTTTAGCCTGCAAGTAGTCTCAACTTTTAGTATCCTTTAAAACTTTACATTCGTCAGTCGACCTTGTTTCTTAACTACATTCGCTGTTTCAGTGTTAAGATCATTGCTCTTTGATAAACTCTAGCTTTCAATAGTATCCGGTTGGCAATTTATCCGCAAGCTAACCACAATTTTATTAATGCACTCGTTTTTTATGAGATGAAACTATACAGTTAGATGAACAAAGTACAAAACTTACTTGTGTGGTTTGATTTTCAATTGTTTAGCCGTTTTAGACATAACTCTTCATAACGTTTATCGGTGAGCACTGTCTTACCAAAATCAATTGAACCATAAACAACTAACTGTTCTTGTTCTTTCTCCAAAATACCTACAGAAAAAAAGACGGATGACCTTCATACACGACGCGATAATTGAAAGAGAGAATAATCATACAGTATTAGATATCAAGCACTGTTTAATTTTACTTTGTGTTTGCAAGAACTCTGAAGATGAAGTTATCAAATATATACAAACAGATAACGTGAGTTTATATGACGTACATGTTTCAGATGCAGCGATAAGAAAGGTTAAGGATTTGTGAAAAATGTAAATTCTGGATTATGAGGATATTATTGGAGCCTTTCAAATTGTCTTACCAAATTATTCTAAGTGGTGGCTGAAACCCATTTTCTCAGCCTAACAATCGAAAGTTATACAGAAAACTGTTAATCTCACCTGGTATGATTGTTTGAGCGGTAACGCGAAAACCACGGTAATCAATAATAGCTGTCCCAAGAGTATACAGTCCAGGTTGATCTAGCATCGAATATGCACGTACTCCACACAAATCACTAGACTAAATTGATAAAAAAAGAATTAGGACTTATATATACTTTTGGAGGAAAAAAGAGATAATCGATATGTAAGACAACTATTGATGACCAATTTCATAAATCCGAATGCAATTAGATACTGATTTTTGTAACTAGCTGGACCACTGACTTGTCATTTAGGATTAAGTGAAGTATTATGCTCTAAAGTTACAGCATATAGCTAAACAAAGGTTCAGATACTTTTTGGTTCGTATAGAAATGAGATGGTATTGAAGTGAACGAGAACACAAGTGGGGACAATCGAATGTATTTGAATTATATAATCACAGAATCTCTTAGTAAAATCTGAGGACCATACAGTAAATACTTCATTTGCAAAATATCAGTCAATCGTCTCAGACTTTATTGTTCCTTCGTTTCCACACCAATCATCCTCTGTTCTCGTCCTCTTTTCTTCGATCTTCTTAACCTTCCGGCATTTCACTTCCGATTGACGATACATACTACTTATATCTGTTGACGTCAGTAGCACACACTGCAGTATTAAATTGGGACCAAATTCTCAACAAATTACATGAATTTTCAAGTTAGTTACCTCTAAACTGGATCAAAGTATTTCCATACTTAAAACTCGCCTTATATTGATGTCCTGTCATAACATAATTAAATTCTAAGTTCTGATCAAGCGGGTGTGGATATCGGCGAATTTCGCAAAGTAAGGTCAATCATAATCAATGAACAACCTCAAACGAATTTGAGTTGATTCAAGTCACTATACTATATTAGCATGAGATAGCATTGGCATTATGGATAGCAAAGGAATCGGAAAAAATAGTAGCAATCAAAGTGAGGAAGACAAAACACTGAGAATATGATTTTATAAGTAGATTAGAAAGAACAGTCAGAATTAATCGTTGATGAAACTTTCATTTATTTTATTGTGTTTGATGTATAGCTCAATCAAACTGCAAAGCAGTTAAGAATGTAACAGTACTTTCTCATTAGATGATTACCGATTAAAATTTCATTTCAGTATAATCATAGGAATGCATAAAACGAAGAGAAGTCAAACGTGATAAAATCACATTCAGTGTAAAATAAAGGAGTCCAATAACCAAGATGAACTTACTGTGGCAGCATATGCGGCATATTCACCACCGAAATGTTTGTAATGATCTTTAACATCAAATCCAAGTGAGAAAAACATATTATTCCATATAAACATTTGTTGTTTACGTGTTTCTCCTGGTTAATAGCCATAATATCTCCATTTACTACGCTAACAGCAGCACGAGTTGCTGCAGCAACAAAATCACTGTTTGATTTGAAAATAGCACGATCTCTAAGTAGCCGCTCTGTAAGACGTGTCTGTGGAAGTTCACGCGTAACTTGTAGCTCTTCGTTCCAGTCCCTAGTTTGACCGGGCAAATTTTCTTCGCACGCCATGCGAGAAGAAAACGCTATTTATCCAGTAAATTTTAAAATAAATGTATAAAAATATTTCTAAATACAATTAAGGATATAGGGATATTCGATTATTAAAACACCGAGAGAGCTGCTTACTGTTGAACATTAGGAAAGGACGAAGGTACGTCAAATATAGTCTCTTGTGGTGCTAAATTACTAATGATTTACTTTAGTGAGCAACTTCGAACTGTTTCCATTGCTTGTAGTTCCAGTTTCGCTAAATATCCTTCGCTTTCACATGTGTAAGGCTGAAAAATTACCCAAACCAGGAACAGTAAGAAGTGAGTAGTTAGGACATATCTTAACTTCCACTTATCAAACAAGGTTGTTTCAAAGGAGATGGAATTGTGTTGACAAGAAAAGTTGCCATTACTATATGATCAACAAGTAACGTAACTGGAGTTTGCCCTTTGACTCAAGCTAATGCAAAAAGAAATACCATCATAGCTGTCAAATATATATATGATTCATAAGAGAAAGATGAACCTTCTTAACTGAAGAAGATATACCTTCGTAATTTTAATTGAGTAGTTTTTTGCTAAACACTATTCTCGTTCATTCACTTCTTGAATACAATACTTTCTCCTCTATTTCTTCAAAATATTGTTTGAAGTTCGTGTAGCCGATTGCCTTATGGTTTATTTGTAGCGAAATTACTGTTATAAATAAATAAATCTAGTGTAGTGAAATAGTAATATAGTTCATTGTCTTTCAGGTAGTCACAAAACTGGATCATTTGCATTGGTTTATGATAGGTATACTAGAACATTCCTCGATGAGATGACCTGACTAACAAGTGTATTAATTGTATGGTCTATTATTAAAACGTCTATTCATATTCAAGTCAGAGAGGATAGGGAGACAAAAAAACTAAGCTTTGAAAATGAGAATTTAGACAAATTCACTTGAACATACCTTCTTCTTTTCTTACAGAATCTGGGGAATGTTCAACTAGTGGCGCTAACCAGGAATGAACTTGATACGGAGTCGGAACACGTTCAAATGGATGTTTAGCAGCTCGATTTTTTAAAAGGGACTCAAAATTGCGCTTGAATCCTGGGCTAAGTTGACGCAGGAGATCGATCAGAGAATGTGCCACATAAGCATGCTGTATGGGGTGGGGATTAAACTGATCATCCGTGGACCTAAAATAGGAAATCAAATTACATTTCACACGAAGTATTTAACCAAGTAAAATAGCTGCAAAATTAATATCATTCAAAAAGTTCAGAAAAGGACTCAACAAAAATCATTTTGTTGGATTTTAGCTATTGAATTTGCGCAATCCGTCAAAACCTATTCGATTACTGGGATCTTCCTACATCAAACGTTTTGATCACAGAAATTAAATTAGATTTTGTTTAAGCATGTTTAAAGCACGGATTAAATCCTTAATGGTTTAGAACAGATTCCACACTTAATTAGACCAAAACTAGAATGACAATGCTTTCAGTCAGCTACAATGTAGGACCGGCATATATGCGTCGATCCAAGCTGCTACACCTCATCAGCACAGCAAGATGGTTACCAAATTCACATAACTAGTTACTTCAATGACAGTAATATATAAAAGATTATGTATGAGGATATAATACAGGGAGAAAGAATTAGTTCGTAGAAAAAAAGGTATAAAACGATTTTAATCTCCTAGTTTAAGGAAAGACGAAGAGTGTATACACCAATGCCACTGTGACCGGTTCTGAGCCATGTCAATCAGAGTCTCCAACCATTGGTTGTAATAGTCGCACGGACCCGACTAAGTAGTCTTCATCTACCAACATGGCTCAGACTACAAGTTAGTGACTTCAAGAATTGAGATTAGGACTCTTACCACATCTATACCTTATAGTACGGCCGATAATAGTCAATGACATCACAAACTGATAGATCGTTTGACTGAATCTAATATTTTAAGGTTATTTATAAACTATTTAACATATGTATAGAGGCTGATCACGTGTAGATAGTATTACAACAAATTACGCATATGATTTTGAACCTGACCAATCGACTTCTCATCCCTCATCTGACGTTTCCATAGTGACTAACGCATTAACGTAATTTACGTGTACTTCTCATCTTTAAAATTCATGTTTTATACGCATACAGCACAGAGATGGAACTTGTCAGTATCTGGAGAGAAAAGCGACTTGCAAGTAAGAATCCTAGTTATATTTCCGACCCCGATGTACAATATTTTCGATCATCACTAGCATCTTAAGCTACAACAAATTGTACGTCCTAACTGACAAAGTAAACCTTGAGTTTGAGAGAGAACAACCCGAACTTATTAGTCCAGGATGTAAACCCTTTATTCAACCACTTTTCAGTTCGCTAATACGCACCAAGCAGCAGTTCAATAGTATGTCTCATGTGACTTGACTCATACAATAATATAGATTGGTTCATTTATCGCCCTTATGAAATTACAACATAGATGTAATTTCGCCAAAATTGCAAAACAGGAAAAAGATAATTCGCTACAATTAAAGAATAACAAGACGTACAGTAATAGTTGAAGAGATCACTTAAAGCTTACAACAACAAAATATTAAAACAATAGTGGCTCATTTATTCACTAATCACCGTAAACCCTGATCACCACGTTTGTGTACAAGACCATGTGTGAGGAAAGTTAATAAGTTTTTTTCAGGATAACAACTTCAGTCAATTTAATTATTTCTGGATGACCATTTTGGAGGACCTCAAGATCAGACATCAGGGATTTTTTCATATTAGCTTAGTTGTAATAACAGCTTTTTTAAGAACAGTTGGGATGTGCAATAATACAAATTAATAATGAAAGCACCAAGTAAAGACATAAAACATATACGCACTGGATATGAAAATGTGCAAAAATTAACGATATTTAGGCTTACATATTTACATAAAATCCTCTGGGACAAGCAGTTATATGGTACTTTTTGTCCTCTAGCGTGTGAAAAAATAAATAAATCAGATCTCCTAATAGTCGTCTTGCAGGTGGTGGAGGGTTCCAATTACTATAATTAAGTTGGCGAACGCACTTAACTGGCTTTCCATCACGATCCAAAGGATGTAAAGGCAATAATGGGAGGTTGGTGTTTGCACCAAAACCGGGCATAACATATTCAGGTGGTATGAAATCTATGCGCATATCTAACCGAGTAGGGAAATGTTTGCGTTCTGAAGAGAAAATAAATAATTAAATGAGTTAATCCTAAGACTTTCATGATAAATGCATCTCCAATTTAGACTTATCATTCAAAGTTTCACCCCATTTTACATATACATAGTTCAAATTGCTAAGACGGTATGATGATCTAATAAATACAGTGTGAATAATGTGAATATGAGGATGAATTACTGATCAAAGTAGCCAGTAACTATGTACTGTTTTGTGTAGAACCTTCTAATACCAAATGCAGTGCTACTATTCGAAACCTACCACTTGGCAGCTTCAAACCTGCATAAGTTAACACTACCTCAAAAGCGTATAAACCTTAACACGGGTTAATACAAATGATTCGACCTCTACCAAAGTTTGTAGCGATTGATATGGCATGTTTATTATTTCGCGACTAAGTCTAAAGTACGAAAACTGGAAGTTGCTGAGAGATGATGCCCCATTTGCACGTAAACTTGGTAAAGTACTGATTATTTTAACCGCCCAGTGAGTACTCTTTATAAAATCCACACAGCACAGTAGCAATATGTAGATCGATCGCAAAGACAAACATCTGGTAAAGGAAACATATCGGTCCTCGGTGTAGAAATCGCAGTGTGTAGTCAGTCGATAAAGAAGCTGACAAAAGACTTACGCTCGTTGATTTTCACCATGATATCTTGACTTATAAGTCAACTTTAGGAACCAGTGAATCTTCATGAGCAGTTAATCGACTTCTTTTACAGAGTCATTTAGTAGACCCGTTGGTGAGTCAAGACAAAACGAGGCAGCATTGATATAGCGAATATCACAATCAAAAGTGAAATTTGACCAAATTTACCTAGCTCTCCCGCTACTGAATTGACAAATGATAGGGACATCTGTTCTCTACCTGCGTATGCATCGTTAGGCTCGACTGAATGAAGGAGGTCATGGATATGTCGAACATGATTTTTGGCTTCACGAACACTATAGCGCTCTAAAATAGAAGCTTAATAAACACAATCGTGGACTACCTTCCACAACTTTCAGTTCGACGCCATCAGCCAAACCATCGACTGACTTTAACTCTGCAAACATATCTAGTGTCTGACCGTTTAGAACCAAAGAAAAGCAAGTGCAACTGCAGGTTTCTTCTCGATCCATTAACACACGATGAATTTCTTGAACAAGCTCAAAAGAGCTCACCTTAACGATAGTGAAACTTTATTAGTACTTATTACTTGTAACTCGAAAGGATCTGAATGGGTTGGAATTATCTTAACTGTGTAAGGCGTTTCATCTTGAACATCTTCCGACTTGCTTAAAGAATCTCCTTTTGACAAGTCGCCATTGGTAACTGCAGTCACCTTATTGTCGCTGGTTTCATTTAAATCAATATCGACCATTTTTAGGGATTTTAAGTTTGTATAGGGCTGTAACTCGAACACTACCACGCAGGTGTAGCGTTCACAACGGAAAACACAACCCGACGATCGACGTCCAACATTAACCTCAATATTCTTAAATGAGAATAGTGAAACATGCTCTCCCAGATGATCCTCATAAGACCATGGGCATCCATATCCAAACCAAATAAGTTCTCAACCACTCTTCCATGGTTTGACTTTTAGTCATCGATCCATTGACCTATTGGGCATGAAGTGATGTGAAGCGCCACAACGTAAACAGGTTTCAGTTTCAGTTCTGAAAGGATAGGAAGCCGAGTAGTTTGTGTGAGTCTTGACAGTGATGATCTTTAAGTTGACGAACTTCTCTTTTGAAAGTGTCAACTGATGGAGTTTCAATCATGTGTTGAAATTATAAGTCACATTCGTCACGATTCGATGAGAAAACTAATAGTCAGCTGACATGTGATGTTTTTCATGGCTTTTGAGATTTCCTATAGTTTATTCGTGCATTCCCTGTTTTTGGAGACAGCAAAAATGAGGACATATCAGGTTCAGACTCTTGACACTGTAGCGGTAAATAAATCCCCAAAATAAATAGCTCTGTAAGTTTTCGACATTGGATGCTGACCATATGTTTTAGTGGACTCATCTAGCTGAAGGCGCTCGGTCAGGCATCCGCACGAGATCACGTGTGGCAACGCCGTGTTCAACATCTACCGCGATCGCTAGCCAGATTAGATCAGAGAATTCCGATATATTGGTTATCGCCAAATACATTTACGATCTCCTCGACTCTGTATTTTGATTTCTCTTGGTGGGTACGTATTGTATTAGAAGATGTTGCTGGTAAAAGCGTTGTCAAACACTGAATACCTGTGCCATCTTCAACACGCATACTCATATTATTCAACGGGGACTGATATCTGCAAGCACTTAGCCAAACATCGTGGCGATATTTCTGTGAGGGACATACGAAACTTTTCTACATTCAGTTACCGCTGTAACCTCTGTTTCCAACCAAAGGCATTGTTTATTCCAAACTTTATCACTTTTTCTTGTTTATCATCTAGGAAACATAAGTAAACGGTCTTTACACCTGTATAGCTCAGTTCTTTCCTGCAAGACATATGTATGTAGAATCCGTAGGAATAGTCCAACACCGGTGTATTTCGGGAATCGCTGTGACGAATAAACATACAGATGCTCCCAGATTAAGGGATTTGGTAAGACGTATTAACTTACGATACCGTAAGTGTAATTTACGATGAATGAGACATACGCACTAATAACATAGAATTACACACACCGAAATCCTCCCTGCTTTCTCAGACACTTGGGTATGTAATATTGTACATTTAGTGATGTAACACTGGACTAAGGGGGAATAAGTCTCTTATTCTCCTAAGAGCAGTCGCCGAGCATCCAAATATTTAACTGTGGGTCAGAGTTACTAAACCTGATTAATAAATTAACTGAATAGAAGCAACAGCAAAGGCAGCCTGGATGTGTCACTTTCCCTTCACATTCTTTACTTCCAAACATGACTTTTACGCCAGGATTTTTCTGATCTCTTCATAAACTAATAAATCTAGAAAGCGTGGCTCCTAGAATAGAATAGACCGGATTGAGCAATCTAGTCATGTGGTTAATGGTTGTATTATACAGTCAAATGTTTCCGTACACGTTACCCAGCTGCAATACTACATATGAGATTTCACTAAGGTGACAAGTGTCTTCATCAAAGCATCCAAATTATGTACAGTAAGATCAAAGCTCTCAAAACACACCGGATTCGGGCATTCTATTGCTTTAGAAAAATCCCTGGCCCAACAATTACTGAGGTGTTATGAAAATTGGTAGACAACAACTAGAAATCCTCAGTATCCTTTTCGAGACGGTTGGAAGGCTGTGTAGAACTTTTGCCAGGTGCTGCTAACCATGTGATGTGCTATACGGCACTTCAGACACTCGACAAAAGGCCGAGATACAAGAACTACTGCCGACTGAAAACTACTAGCGCTTTCTCTCGATAAACTGTTTGATGAAATCTTCCCTCTGGAGTTCCGCTTACCGCACTACGTTTCTCAACGCCAAAAATATGGCGTTGGACGAATATAAATTTCTTGAACCATTTTCAAGCAGTCAACCCTGTCAAACTGTACTGAATTCAAAGGGAATATAAAAATCTCCATCAGCCCTTACAATCAATAACTCCAAAGTTCTAGTTGAAACGTACCGGAACATCGTAAGGAAGCTTGCTATTTGACTCTTCCAGAGAAAAGATCATTCATTCGTAGTGAAGAGGTTCCCTTCTATGTAAGCAGCTTTTAGACAGTCGATGCTGATGTTGTCATCAGTTCCGTTCCTACTGATGGTATAGTACTTGGGTTCGAGGCGAACAACTTTACGGGTCCCTTTAGGGGGTGCATATAGAAATTGACATTCCGAACACATTTTACTGGATGAAGTTGTAGTGACTCACGTTTATCACGAGAACACGACTGGTTTAATAAAAACAATTATTATTATAACCAACTGTACCAGTGTTTGTTTTAATGTGCTTTTGTTTGACTGTGCTAATGACAGCTATTTCGTGCTTCCATTCTTATACTTACACTTCGATTGTAACTTCGCGCGAATTCGGTTACCTTCTGTAACCAAGGTTGTATCCTGGCACGATCTCGGTATCCTTTCGATGCCACGAGATCGCCAGCAAATATAACTCGACTTGGTCCATTAATTGCCTTCTGGTATTCGGCTTCTCGGGATTTTATGGAGTCATTTGGAACGAGCTTCTTACGCCTTCTGATCTATTTGGCACGTGTTTCTTGGTAGCGGTGTTCATAGTTAATCACAACTCGACGCCACGCTACATTGGTGACCCGTATTTTGGAACACGCCTCAACTTCTGATCAAATCTTCCAAAGAAGCCAATTCGGTGAGTCTATGATTTATCTATCCACGTCTGTCGTATATTTTCATATTTTTTAATATATAATATACGCGACATGACGGATAACGATAAGAATAGTATTAATATAATAGACTCACACGTATGTGTACCGAATCCTTGTCACTTTTTATTCGCGTGATGATGAATTCCACGCTTTATTCGAGAAATGTTACCCTATTAACTATTCTCCTCGCTGACCCGGCTGCTTGGTACGGAATGCATACGCATGAGCATATCCGTCTACCACACAGCACCAAATGGTTAAGTAAACGGTTTCACTGCCAACTTAAAATGCTCTACGAGCACACGAAAATGGCAACTGGCACGAAACCTTACCGCTCGTTCTTTTAGGGATCAGAACGAGCTTAAAGGCAGATATCCAATGTTCCGCCCTTGAACTTGTATACGGCACGACATTGCGTCTGCCCGGAGAATTCTTCACACCACGGAGCAGACCTAATTTCGGTAAATCAGACAACGTCCGTCGACTGTCTGCATTTATGTGAACGCTGTCTCCGGTGTCAACTCGAATACAACATCGACAGGTCGCTCTCCCTCGAGAGTTATCTACCTGTTCACATGTTTTTGTACGAGTAGATTCGGTACGCAAACCTTGGCAACAACCTTACGAAGGCCCTTTTCACGTGATCGCTCGTCACGAAATGACCTTCAAGGTTGATCGACATGGACGCGTCGAGATCGTCAACATTGATCGTCTCAAACCAGCACACGTCGATGACAGTGCCCTATCTGACAACCTGAGATTCAATGCTAGACCTAGCAAACCTACTAGCGGGATCCTCAAATCATCTTCAGGTCCCACGCTAGATACATCTGAGACCTCATTCTCACGTCCCAGTCAACAGCACGCGTCATCTGCACCGTCTACGGACGAGACGACAGTCTCACGTCCAGATCAGCAGACCACGCCGCCCTTGACTTCGGATGAGGTTGCAGGCTCACGCGACGCGAACGAGACTACCGTCTCACGTTCCGGTCGCCGAGTACGGTTACCCGTACGCTTCCGCGACTAGCCGCACAGTTAAAAAACGATACGGTGTAGGATTATTCCTATACTACACGCATGCTACACTCTTCTCTTTTTTGATTTTCTTTTTGTTTCCTGAGCCCACGCCTTCGACCATCTCCGTTTGGTTCCGTCGACTTCAGTCAACTTTGGCGAAAGCTGGCCTGATCACCCACGCTCTTGTCAACGTACTCAGTCGATATCTTCGTTTCGAATGTTTGGCACACGCTTGGTCTCGAACTTGGTCGTTATGGTCGCTTCTGGTTCATCGGATCAACGTGGTTTCGTCCTACGTCTGCAGCGTTTCTGGTCCGGACCCCTACGAACGCCATCTTCAGATTCTGGATACAAACCACTCTGGTGTAGCATGCCAACTCAAACAACAAATACAGCACATCGCTCCTGGTACCGTTCTCCGAAAACGACCTTCGTTGGCAACTCGACGATCAACGATCGCTTTCCTGTTCGCCAATTCTTCCGTCCTACAATCGCTCGTCAGCCGATCAGTCCCACGATTCAAACCGCTATTTATCGAAAGTGTAAACCCTTTCTAGCGGGGGGCTCCTGTAGTGACTCACGTTTATCACGAGAACACGACTGGTTTAATAAAAACAATTATTATTATAACCAACTGTACCAGTGTTTGTTTTAATGTGCTTTTGTTTGACTGTGCTAATGACAGCTATTTCGTGCTTCCATTCTTATACTTACACTTCGATTGTAACTTCGCGCGAATTCGGTTACCTTCTGTAACCAAGGTTGTATCCTGGCACGATCTCGGTATCCTTTCGATGCCACGAGATCGCCAGCAAATATAACTCGACTTGGTCCATTAATTGCCTTCTGGTATTCGGCTTCTCCGGGATTTTATGGAGTCATTTGGAACGAGCTTCTTACGCCTTCTGATCTATTTGGCACGTGTTTCTTGGTAGCGGTGTTCATAGTTAATCACAACTCGACGCCACGCTACATTGGTGACCCGTATTTTGGAACACGCCTCAACTTCTGATCAAATCT